CCCTACAAAGCCGGGACGGAGCACGCCGGGTTCTCACCGGACCAGGCTCTTGGGGGGGTCGGATACAGCAAAAGGGGTTGAACTAAAGAGAGCAACGACATTTTCGCGATGCTTTGTGAAGGAAAGGTAATTCGTAGAATGTATGAAACCATAGATCTGTCCCCCGGCACGTGCTTAAACTATAGCTCCACATGAACGGGCTACTACTAAAGGAGCAGGTTCACCAATAAGTTGGTTGATTCTCCTGATCAAGTCCACGCTTACTTGGTTGTGCTGTGCGATAAGTCGATGCATGCAAGATCGGATGGACAGAGGACAAGTAGACAACAACAACAACAACAACAACAACAACATCAACATCAACCAACAACAACAACAGCCCAACAAGAGCTCTATCAGCCACAGCCGCAAAAAAACACCGAAAACTCGATACTCCGTGATACGGTGCTCGGTATTGCCGCAGCGGCACAATGCCGGAGATCATACAATTGCCTGAAAATACCCCCAAGTAGTGATAGAGCAGGGGTTTCTACAAGTAGGCGCATTACAAACCTCGTTTAGCGGGGGGTCGAGGCACTTCATGTGCGTGGCGATGGGGCAGCCATTGCCGTCACACAGTAGCAGCTGGTTGTCACGTCCTTTGCCGCCGATAATTCCGCACTCCGAGCACCTGCCAGTGCTGAGCAGGCACGAGGAGCATGACCAGCCAATACGAGGAGAGGACCGGGAGCGGGCGAGGGTTAAAACAGAAAGAAACGGCGTCTGTGAGGACAAACAACCAAGTGTACGCTGCAAGTCAGTCCTCCGGAGTGGGCTAATGAGACCTAAGTGTCACCAAGGGGTGATGATGCAATATGAAAGTAAAAACAGGCAGCAGGATCAGCTCACAGCTAGCGGCTGCCAGCTGCCAGTCGTGACGTTTCCCGAGCTCACCAACTCACACAGCTGACGTCAATTTAACTCCAAAACCCCCGGCAAAACCTCAACGAACACAAAAAGAACAACAATATAAATCTGTTCACAGTATCTGTCCTTCATCATCTCCTGCGACGAAGAGAGCGCAGGCTATACGGGCGGTGGTGCTTCAAACGTCGACAAGGAACAACGACGGCGGTTGTACTGCCAGCGGGGGGGAGGCCCGGCAGTCGGTGCTCGAAAGGGAAGGTGGTGATCTAATAAGCCAAGGGCAGAGGTACCGTCAATTGATATCACAACGCGTAAATCACGCGGGTCGGACGGTCTTTGACAAGGGACGTAGACAGCCCGGTTTTCCGTCTTGTCAATTCTCTGGGAACGCAGGGAAAACAGGGCCCGAACAAAAACCCAGATTCTTGCATCATCGCGAATACTGACGGCAACAACAACAACAACAACAACAACAACAACAACAACAACAACAACAACAACAACAACAACAACAACAACACAAACAACAGCAACATCAACATCAACAACAGCAAACGACAGCAGCGACCACAATCTTCGTACTCTGAGTTGTCCAGAGAATCCACCGAGGCGTTCTCGTCTCCAGAATAGGTCCCGTTAGCGGTCCGCACGCACTCAGCGTGCTGCGTTTCCGACAGAAGCCCCTGTTGCAACGACAAAAAAAAAAAAGTTCGATCCAGGCACACGGAGTGGGAGTGCGGAAGTTCACGCATGTTACACAGTAACACACACCGGTTAGTCGGAACGGAAGGTATCGACAACAAGGACGGAACAAACCTGGGAACGGAAAAAGTGAACACGCCTCGACATCTTAAAAAAGAGTCTCTCGTGCGTCGTGTAGAGTACTCCCACTTTTCCAACTTTCTCTCGACATACTGCTGTGCGCTATCCAAGTCAGCCCTCAAGTATCGCAATCTGCCCCTGCCTCTCCTCGGAAGGTAACTAACCAACAGGGAGGAAACGGCGTTGGTAGAAGTCGAGGTTTCCTGAGGACATGGGGGGCCGATAGATGGGACTTCGTGCACGAAGCACACCATTACTCCAACCCCACGAAAAAAAAAGAAACAAACAAGCCAACACAATCACGAACCTCGCACGCTCGGCAAGGAGGGGGATTTTTCTCCTGCAACTGCCGCTTCTTCTTCGCTGCTGTCCGAATCGCTGCTATCCGCTCCCGGTGCCTTTAGAGCACGAGGTGGCGGTAGGTAGGGAAAAGGAGAGGGAGGATGAGGACAAGGGGAGGGGAAGGAATGGTTCCACCATTACGCATGACCGCCGGCTGTGTCGTCATTGTATCTGGAATCGTTATCACACACGGCCGATGCTGTTGGTGTAGTCGCTGGTGTTGTCTTCGCATAACATCGTATTTTTCTCTATCCAGTACCTTCTGTCGTACTCTTCAGGGAAACGAAACGAATGCCCGGAGGCAAACACTAGGTCCAAAAAAAGGTACACATCGCAACAGTTTCAAAGACCGATTATGAAATGTGGGGGCCTTATTTAGTGCTGGTTGAAAGCTGCCGGTGCCCGGTGTAGTGCCGCTATATTTGGCTGGCACAGACTGATTCATCAAACCATTTTTACCAATAACGCCATGCGCGGTATGGTGCCGGTCAATTCTGTGGGCACATACCAACACTAAACAGGCTCCCCACTGCTGTACTTCTACCATGCAATAACCGCCCAATCAAAGCATCAAGACGGAACGGTGATTGTCGCCGGTTTCGCCGACCAAACGACCATTTCAATAGTGGGGGTTCTCCAATAGTGCCGATTGAAAGTGCCGCAGCGCTGGTGAAATCGCCAGCCTACGTACAAGCTCAAGCGCTACACTGGCCCCCCGGCACTCCGAGCACGACGCAAAAGAAAAGCTGTTTCGCCGGACCGTCTTCGCGACAAATAAAGTTTCTGGAGAAATGCATCAGGGAGGGGGTACAAGCAGGCCCTATCCTAAACGCTAATTTCCCCGATTGCCTGGTATTTCTCCAACGTGTTCACTTGATCGAAAAGCAAAGCGAAGGCTACCGGTTTCACCCGACCGCCGTAAAAAAAACGCCGGGCTCAAACGGCGGCTCACCGGTCGAAGCAGGCGCAGCACACGCCGAGCGCGTACTGGCCGCTATCGCATCCGGGGGTCTCGCACTTGACGCTCTTGTCCTCCACGCGCTTCTCCTCCTCCATGGGGTCACTACCACTGCCGCCCTTCCCGGCCTCGTGGCAGTAGTGACACTTGCCGTTCTTGTAGTTGACCTCGTTCCCGGCCTCGACGTGCTCGCACTTGCCGCGTCCCCAGGACTGAACCGTTACGGACGGACGGGAGCCGCCGGCGGACAGCGACGAAACGCTGCTGCCGCCCCCGCTACCGCTGCCGGTGCTGCTGTTACCGCCACCGCCACTGCCCCCTCCGCCGCTGCCGACGCTGCCGCTGCCGACGCTATCGCTGCTACCGCCGCCCCCACCGCCCCCGCCGGACTCACCGCCAGCGCCGCTGCTCGCGCTTCTGCTCCCGGCCCTTTCTCCCCGTGGCGGAGTTGGCACTAGCTCCAGATCCTTGAGGTTGATGGCAGCGCTGAGGTAGCCGGGCTGGTACCTGTACGTGCAGAAGGCTTCCATGTCGCGCCCGTCATCATTGTGGTCCTCGAGGGAGTACACGTACCCGACCTGCTTCTTCCTCTCGTCCTTCCCTGGGACCGCCATGTAGGGGAGCTCCCACCACCGGACGAGGTCGTCTACCCGAAACCTCACCGGGGGCCCCGTGCCGCTAACAGGTACGTGGGGGGGGGCAGGGGAGGGGGGGGTTGGAAAAATAGACTTAAGTAACAAATGTGTCTGAACTCTGAGACTCTCCAAGCAAGGCGGTTTCGTCGGTAAATGAGTCTGTGGTCGCCTTCAGACCTTTCGTTCGCCAGTCTTCGCCCGCTTGAACGCGTCAGTCTCTCCATCGCAAAGCCCCTTTTGCGAGCTCGAGAGACTCCAATCGCGACACAAACATAAACACAAGAAAGACTATCCGTTCCAGACAATAGCACAGTCGAACGGGAATGTGTTGGAAAGTCAGTGGGGAAGAAAGCCTGCTGCATACTGCTCTCAATTAAAGTCTGATGAAGCACTCCGTAGGTGATATGAGATACCCCGTGGACGGATTTTCAAAGGCCAGCTACTCAACGACGAAGATGTACAGATCAAACGATAACAAGCTACTTGTTTCCACGAGACGGTTCCAACGCCGCAATTCTTGGGATCATCAACCTCTGTGCTGTGAAGTAATCGAGCTTCGAAAATCGGTCCAGCGGGTGTGATCTTTCATGTCACAACTGTGCACAAGGAAAAGGCCCCAAGGGCGAACTGCCGTCATCCCAAATTTGCGGCAGAACCTCATCATTTCGGGACCGCGAAGCGCGAGCAGGAAAATCGGTAGTGGCCTCTCCTTCAGCGCTTTCAAACATCGGTTCCGAAAAGCTCCGCTGGACCTGACTCACGCTGCGGGCTCCAACCCCTCCTCGGAACTGTTCAATTGGCTGCGTTGCAACCGGCCAGTATGGTTGTGCGAGTACTTGTCAACAGCACATGCAGCATATTTCGTGCGGAGCCTGACCGTCTCTAGTGCTGGCATACAGGTGAACTTGTCGCAGAGTAGCGAAGCACCACACCGGGCTTTNGGGGGGGGGGGGGGGGGGGGGGGGGGGGGGGGGGGGGGGGGGGGGGGGGGGGGGGGGGGGGGGGTGCTACATTCATCGGATGACAGGACCGCGCGGGACGATTCGATTACGCTCTTACCCGTTGGGCTTGACCAACGTCCACAGGCGAACGTTGCACTTGCAGCACCTCTGACTTGACTCCGTGTTGATCGCGCCGCACCCTCTCGACCTCTTGGGGCACTTGAATCCCCGCCTGCCCGGCCAGAAGCCAACGCGGATCGTAAGCAACGCCTGCTACACAAGGAGCACCGCTGCCGTGTGCCAGAACCAAAGAAACTTGCGGCATAGCTTTAGCAATGCGAGGAGCCAACTCATGGGATGTATGCATAGCAAGAGCGCACGCCACTAGGCAGCCAGATCCGTAAGCCTCCATGGCATGTCCTTCACAACCCCGCCCGTTCTCGATCGCACCCCGTCATCAGGTCAAATGACAGGACGGGTCAAGACATGTACAAAGATTGCCGCTGTCTGCGTAGTAGGACCGTCCAGACTTCATTCCAGCACCCCCATCGTCCTCTTCCAAGCCGTAGCGCAATGATGTCATGATACTTGAAAATGTGGAAAAACTCCCCGGCAACCTAGGGTCCGTTGAGACCTTGTGTCGTTCGCCAAGAGGCCAACCAACACCGACCACCACGAACGAGAACAACACACCCCTTACCCGCTGGCGCCGGGAGGCAAAAGCCGACCCTTCCCCTTCCCCTCGGGCTTGCCCTGAACCTTCTCTTTCTGCTGCTGCGCCCTCGGTCGATCGCTCCCCGACCCCTTTTTCCTCTTACCCGCCGCGCCCCCGCCCCTTCCTGCCCCCGAGCCGCTCCTGCTTCTTTTCCGCTCGACGCCGTCTGAAGGTTTACAGGGACTACACTCGGGCGGAGCGCCGTTGTCGACGGCAGCATCGCCTCCGGCGGGGGCGGGGGCGGGGGCGGCGGCGGCGTCCGAAGGTTCGAGTTTGATGTCGGCCTTGGTGTCCTCGCTCTTGACGAGGGGTCGTCGAGCACGCGTCCCCGTGGGAACGTACCGGCGAGNCGACCCCTTTTTCCTCTTCCCCGCCGCGCCCCCGCCCCTTCCTGCCCCCGAGCCGCTCCTGCTTCTTTTCCGCTCGACGCCGTCTGAAGGTTTACAGGGACTACACTCGGGCGGAGCGCCGTTGTCGACGGCAGCATCGCCTCCGGCGGGGGCGGGGGCGGGGGCGGCGGCGGCGTCCGAAGGTTCGAGTTTGATGTCGGCCTTGGTGTCCTCGCTCTTGACGAGGGGTCGTCGAGCACGCGTCCCCGTGGGAACGTACCGGCGAGAAACGAGGACGGACTTTCTTTGCCTGGGGACGGGGTTTGCGGCGAAAGGAGGCCGGTGAACGAGGAGGGGTGCTGGGTTGCGCACGTGACTCCAGCGTCCAGAAAACAACAACTTTCTGTCGCCGAACTCACTTGCGAGGCTGCTGCGTATGGTGCAGTGATGACGCGCACGCATCTAGAGGGAAACAAAAGCGGACTCGTGCGAACGCGACAGTGCTGATCAACACGTGTACGACATCGTGAGACTCGAAGAGCCACCCGACAAGGAACAAGCGACCGCGGTTGTAGGAGTCGCAACCATTGCAACAGGCCATCAAGGTATCACTACGTATTGTCGTCCTGTGAGTGACATCATCGGAGTATACAATAACACCCCACGGAACGCTACACGACTGAGGTCTGCAACCGCAGGCATCAAATGGAGATACCACGCGAGAGCTTTACACCCCTGCCGTGGGCAAGGCTCTCAAAGAATGCAGAGAAGGACGTAGTACGTATGCATAGCGATCTGGAAAGGAGCACCCCCGAATTTTCAATCGGCACTCAAGCCCGACAATCGCACCTCTTAGCCCGAATCTCCTTCTTCTCCCTCTCCTCTTCCACCTTGATCTGGTTGTCCAAACAGAGGTTCACGTGGCTCTGCAGCAACCCCACCGGAAACGGCTTGCCACACACGAGGCACTTATCTTCGCCGGCATCGCTGCCACTTCCAGCGGCGCCCTGCCCTTCGCTGGAGCCGCCGCCGCTGCCAGCGGCCCCGTGCGGCGGACCAGCCCCTCTCGCGCCGCTCCCCGTCCCTTGTGCTGCCGCGCCGGTGCCGGGGGGATCGACTACCTGAACGTCATCGTCTTCATCTAGGCACCTCTGGACGTGAGCCTCCACGTCGATCGTCGGGAACTCTTCGCGGCACAGTGCCCGCAGCGGGCACGGAGTCATCGGTGGCGCTTCGTCTCCGGGGCTATCCGCGGCCGTTTCTGCCTGTGCATGCTTGCTGCTGCTGCTGCTGCTTCCCCCTCCCTTCTCTGCCACCCCGCTGGTCCGGCTCCCTCCCAACTTCTCCTTCCTTGCTGGTGCTGGCGTTGGTCGTTCCTCTTCGGTGCCACTACCGTCTGTGTCCGTGTCTTTTCTCACCGCTGCTCTGTTATCGTCCTCAAGGTCCGTGTCGCCAGCGGGGAGAGCCGATGTCCCGGCGGTCGTGGTGCTGGTGCTGTCATCGTTGTCTCTCTCTCTCTCTCTCTTCTCCCGATCGTCTCCTTCTCTTCCCGCCTCTCTCTCGCCCTCCGTCCCCCCGTCCTCAGCCTCCCTGGCCGAAACTCGCAAGCTATCGTCACGGCTGCTACTGCTGCCGCCGCCGTTCCCAGCACTTCCTTCGCCGACAGCCGCCGCTGTCGACCCAGCCCCCGGAGGTGCCTCGCTGCCAGCCTTTCGTTTGCCCCCACGAGCACAGCTCCCCTGACTACCGCCGACTCTGGGTCTGCGGGAGGCGGGCGTGCGTGGCATCTCGTCGTCAGAGTCATCGTCTGACCCGAAAGCGTTGAACGTCTCTTGCGCAGGCTCTGGCTCATCCCACGGGTATTCTGCGGTGTCTTCTGCCTGTGACATCCTTGTTCGGCGGTTACTGGCGCGTACCCAGGGGCCACGCGGTCAGGACCCCGTGGTGTGCTGTTCAGGAACGCTGAGTCCTGTTGCGGTAAGGCAAGAAGGGCGGGGGAGGGCGCACGCAAGCCGAAACACATGGCGCGCTTAGCGAGCTCCTTCGACAGAAAAAAAAAAATCATTGGCATTCTACCTTTTAGCCGCAATTCTTCGGGACAACACCACCACTGTCGTCCTTGACAGTAGATACGCATCGAGGTGTCACCAAACCGTGCGTCATGTTTGTAAAGCTGCATGTAACAGGAGAACAGGCCAACTTGGTGAGGGGTGTGCATGGAGAGCAACACGTGCAAGTGCAAAAACGGTGATTTCGGGGAGAAGGCACCACACACGTACCCCGCTGGGCGCCCTGCGTACCCCTCGAAGGGCGCTCTGCTTTGGCTGGATCTGCTGGAGGGGGGGGTTCTCGTGCTCACCGACAGTCTCGCACAAGGGCTGTGATATCGCCAGCCGCCTTGTCTACCATACAAGTATACGACACGAGACAACACACCCCTTGGGCCGATTTTCGAAGCTCGATTTATCAATAGCAGAAAGAGTCACAGCGCCGGAAACGGCGGCGTCGAAGCCGTCTTGTCGAGAGCTCTCCGAAAACGTTCCGTTTCATTTTTGCATCCTCTTCGTGGAGTAATCGAGCTTTGAAGTCGGTCCAGGGGGTGCGTTATCTTGTGTTATATACGGTATTTTGCACGCCTCTTCGCGAGAAACAATGAGGATAGACAAGAGCCGACATTCCCCACACACGAAACACTACGAGTGGGACACCCACGAAGCATTTCTCCATCTTATCATATCACGATGCACGGGAACGAAACCGTCCTTGCTGAAGGTATTATGGTCCGTGCTCAACAATTTGTCCAATTTTTTTCCAGCGCCCGGGTGCACTTTTTCTCTGCACACAGGTGGTCGTTCGGACATCCGAAAGTACCGGCAAACGCCCTGTTTCCAGGCGCATCTCTCTACGGAGAGATTTTCCGATTTTTTTTATTCCTTGACTTTTTATCTTCGAAAACGGTGAAATTTTGTATCGTTTCGCTGGGTCGTGTTTTTAGCCGATATCAAATATCTCAACGGATTTGAGCGTATCTCGGAATTCCCGAGATGTTTTTTTTTTTTTTAATACTAATTTTTGACGAAGATATTGACGAAAAACTGGATTTTGGAGGCCAAGTTGTATCGTTTCTAACTACAAAACTGACCGTACGATTTAAAAATAAACAGCGGCAATCGATTCCTCGGGTCAATCCCCAGATGGGTTATTTTCTATTTTTCCAAGAAAAACGAAATTTCACGAGATATCGCCATTGTTGTTGGCCCGTCATGGGAGAAAAAATCGCCAGCAGCCGCTGTGCACACACAGCCACAAACTCCCACACGCGGACACACACAGGCCCATGCCACGAGCGAAGAAGAGGAAGCTCGGCCGTGGGTCGGATGGGCGGATAGTTTCGAAGGCCCCGGCACAGCAACATGATCCTCCGGCGTCTGCCGTCGATGTGCCTTCCGTTGGGGACGCACCCGACGACAGCAACACTTGTGGCGGCAGCGCTTCTTCTATGGATGAAGATGAGGAAGGGGCTGCGGCAAACGACGAAGACTGGTGCGATGAGGAACCCAGCAGGATACACAGCAGTGGTGGGGGTCAGTCGATACTGAGGTTCGCAGGGCGTGCTGTGGTATCCGCAGCTCGCTCGGCAGCAAACGCGGCGAGAAAAACAAAACCCGCCGTGTTTTCTCTCTCACGAAGCCAGCAATCCCGCCGCCGAAAAGCAGCTTTGGGGCGCCAAGTCGTGGGCTTGGCCAACACTATGGGGATGTTTCTGGAGCGTGCGCGACGGCAGCAGATTATTGTTGTTCGTTGTTTTTCTGGCCCTTCCGTGGAGTTGGCTGTATTTGGCCAGTATTTTTCTGACCCTTCACGCAGAGTGTTGCATGTGTATTTTTTCCGGATAAGTTCGTACTTGTTCCCGTGTGGTGTAGACACAGCAAACACCCGTCAGCAGCAGCTGCAGTAGAGATGTTTGTTTGCAGAGATTTAATGGCGTGTAGGTGGTCTCTGTAACATTTGTACAGCAGTGGGTAGTGGTGTTGAGGGGGTCCCGTGATGTCATGAGAGGGTACGGGGGGTACATAAGGGGGCACCGTGGAACATTTTCTCCGAAAATGTTGCATTTTCACCAAATTCAAAAAACTCCTCGGATATCGACGTAACTCGATGAGGCCGTCACGACCAACGTTGTGTCACCTTCCAATCCTTTTTTTTTTTACCCAAAACTGAATAGGACAAATTGTTGTGCACGGACCATACCTTTCTGCGAAAACGTCCTTTAACCTATCCTACCGCTTGAGGGCAATATGCTACGTATAACGACGCGATGCATATCGCGACGCTGGTGATGGGACGGCTGCTACGGGCTACACACTAGCCGGTGGTGCACATGGATTGTTTGCCGGTGGTGATATGGACAACCTCATAGCCGAAGGTTTCGTGCGTTGGCAACTACAGTAGTACAGGCGTTCAACTGCATTGTGCTGCTGCTATATTACAGTCAGTCTATGCATATCATTCCAAAGAGGCGCGCTATCTCACCGCGAAAGAAAAAGAGCCGCACGCCTTGTATCAGAAGACCACCATTACTTGCGCACACAAAAATCTTGTCCAACGGAAAATCCGAGGAGGAACAGAGGAAACTCTCTGCGAACACACCGCGTGGTGCGGCTGAGAAGCAAATACCGTCTAAGGACCCGTAGGGTAAGTGTGAACGCGCGCGTTTTGAAGTGCCTCCAAGAATTTGCAACATGATCAGACAAAACAGCGGGTGTAGTAGGGGAAAAAACCCTTACCGTAGATATGTGGTCCCTTCTCCCACTCAAACGGCAGCGCGTACGCTCTGCCTCTATCTTGTGTGCAGACGAGGCGATGAGTGCGGGCACCGTGCTGGTCTGTGGTTTCAAAAGTCAATGGTGCGGTTCGGCGATCTGCCGCGGCAGGCACGGGCGTTGCTGGGGGCCCAAAACGCAGAAAAGTCCGGCCAAAAATCAATATAGGGTACCCTCGTTGTTGACGCCACCGGCCGGAGCCCCGCGGCGACGGCCGGCACAACTGGGCTCACTCAACCACACCGTTCTTCACGCTCAGAGCAGAGACCGACACGAAACTTTGCAGGAACCCCAGAAACATTGCATCCTACACCCGTGAGTGGTTCATTGTTCCATTTCATCCCTTGAATGAGAGAAAAGAGCTGCGGAAACGTGTTGAGTGACATTGTTCAACTTAGTTGCGCCGCGTTGGGAAGGGCACCTTCGGCTCCAAGTTACTACCTCGTAGAGTTGATCAAATCGCGGGATACTCGGAGGCTGTACTTCTTGGTGGGTTAGGTATCGAAGACACCCTGGTAAAAATTCGGATCAGCACTACAGGATGCGTAATCATCCTTGCCGAGGGTTGTCTACAAAACGCGGCGGAACCTCGAAAACAGGACAGGTACGGTCGCTGATACGCAGCAGACGTTGAGTGCCTCACAGCTTTGCAGCTTGCTGACCATGGTTCATGGGATGATCATGTAGTGGATAGCTTGCCAAACATCCATGGCGCACGTGGCCGCGCCCTTGATTGTGTATCTTCCAAATTTCGACAGGTCTCTCTGCCTACAAATCATGCAGAGCAGCAGCAGCCGCCGATGTAGCGCATGCCTGGAATGCGGAGAAGACTTCAGGCAGACTAGGGCTAGGACAGGAGAATTGCTTCGGAGCTTTGTAGACGAGGCTGGGTTAGCAGACAGGTTTCCCGGCTTTCAGTCGGGAGCCGCGGGCCCAAACTTGTTCGCTCTATGTAAACGTTCGGGTTGTCTGCTGGAGCTGTACAAGAAGCACGAGTGGGCGCGGAGCAGGGAACGCGTAGCGCGGAAGGCAAAGCAGACGCCGCGCCACAGCCGGACCTGGAGCGCCGCTCCTGAACCTGTCACGCACCACAAACGCCGGCGGTTTGATCGGTACTGTACTTCGCCTGAGGCGGTGGACGCCTTGCGGGA